AGTACTACTCAGCGATAAAGAACGAGAAACTAGAGACATTTATAGCTAAGTGGATGCACATTGAGGACTTACTCTTAAGTGAAACTAGTAGGGCACACATGTAAATACTTAATAGTATCTCTGGTGTGATAAACTATAGTATAAATATAGTATAAAAGTATAAATAAGGATCAAAATGTATAATTGATATGTGTAATAAGAAAAAACGGTATAAAGGTGTAGGGGATGGGGCAAATGTACAAAGGAAACAGGAAAAATGAGAGAAAAGGAAAAAATGGAAACAAAGTCTTTGTAAATAGGGAAGGGTGGAGGGGGTGAAGGGAGGCCAGGCAAATGGGGAAAAAATAAAAACCAAGATACATCACATAACAGTACAAGATCCCAGTGATGAATGTAACTATATTTTATACCTAAAATCTACCAATAAAAATAAGGGAAAAAAAAGAAAAGAACATCTTCACAAAACATCCTGAAAATCTCAGGTGTCTAACACAAGAACAGAATCTTAAAAATGGCGAGAAAAAAGATGAATCACTCACAAAGTTAAACCCAGTAGAATTACAGCAGACTTCTCAACACAGTTCTCAAAGGCCAGGAGACACTGGAGTGAAGTGTTTCAGCCACTAAAAGCAAACAATTTCCGACCCAGGCTGATATATCCTGATAAACTATCTTTCAAAATCAATGGATAAATAAGATATTTTCATGATAAAGAGCATCTAAAGAAATTCATGACCACCTAACCAGCACTCCAAAAAATTGTGAAGGATATCTGAGAAAGAGGCAGTAAAATTATCAATGACAAAAGGTCTAATATAGTGCATATACCAGGTAGGGTGAGCAGTTAAGCAGAAGAAAAAGACAGGGAATTAGTAACAGGAAAATAAGGAAATGGCAGGGATAAGTCAGCACCTATAAGTAATAATCTCAATGTGAATGGTCTCAGTTTCCCAATGAAAAGACACAGACTGGAATAACGGATGAAGAAACAAAATTAAGTGTTCTGTATACAAGAAACATAAGGAAAAAAAAGCAGGGCCCCTATCCTATATTCAGACGAAATGGGTTTTAAGCCAAAATTGATCCAAAGAGGCAAAGAAGGTCACTGTATATTGATTAAGGGAACAATCTAATAGGAAAAAATAACAATTATTAACATATGCACCAATGATGCACCCAAATTCATAAGAAAAGTATTACTTTTCCTAATAGACCAGATAAAGATAAACACCATTATAGTGGGGGACCTCAATACCCCACTAGACAGATAGACTGACTAAACCAAAGATCAACAAGAAATACCAGAGTTGAACAAAACCTTTGAACCAATGGACTCAGTAGATATTTAAAGTGTTCCACCCAACAACAGAACACAAATTCTTCACAGCAACACATGGAATTTTATGCAAAATAGACCACACACTGTTAATAAGCAAGCTTAAGTAAATGTAAAAGAATTGAAATTATACCATTCATGTTATCAGAACTTAGCACAACGAAACTATAAATCAACAACAAAAGAAAACACAGAAATATGAAAATACATGAAAACTAAACAATACACTCTTAAACAATGAGTTATAGAAGAATTGAGGAAGAAGTAACACAGTTTCTAGAACAAAGTGATGAAGCCACTAAAACATGCCAAAACTTACGGGACATCATAAAAGCAGTCCTAAGTGGGACATTTATAACTGTAAATGCCCACATCACAAAAACAGAACAAACTAAAATAATAACTTAACAATGCACCTCAAAGTCCGAGAAAAACAAGAACAATTCAAACTCAGTAGAAGAAAGGACATTATAAAGATCAGATCAGAAATTAATGAAACTGAGACCAAAAAAATATAAAATCAGTGAGCTGGTTGGTCGGTATCTCTTCCTGTTGAATTGTTCCCTGAACCAATGTGGAGTGATTTTCTTTACCTTTTTTATCGGTATTAGCTTGAAGTTTACTTTGTATGAGAATAAAATTGCTGCCCACGCTTGCTTTCAGAGCCCTAGTGCATGAAATATGGCTCTCCATTCTTTGATTTTTAGTCTCTGAATTTCTTTCTGGATTAAATGACTTTCTTGAATACATTCAACTGCTGGCTTCTGTTTTTTGATTCAATCTGCTAATCTGTGTCTTTTAACTGGGGAGTTGAGGCCATTTACACTGAGTTATTACTGGAAGGCTTAGATGTATTACTGTTGTCGGGTTCTTTTTCTGTTGACTTTTCTATTTAACTACTTGCACTGCTTGATGTACCTGTTCCACCTGATCTTTTTGGCTTTGTTGCTCAATGTCTCTTTCTAGGACATCTTGAGAATTTTTTGGAGTGCTGCTTTGGTGGTCATAAATTTCTTATGGTGCTCTTTGTCATGGAATGTCTTTATTTCTCCATCAATTCTGAAACCTAGTTTTGCAGGATGTATTAGTCTGGGTTGAAAGTTGTTTACTTTTAGGGCTTGACACACTTCACTCTAAGTTCCCCTGGCCTTTAAAGTCTGTGTTGCACAGTCTGCTGTAATCCTAATGGGTTTACCTTTCTGTGTGATTTTTTTGCTTTTCTCTGACAGCTTTTAAGATTCTGTCTTTTTGTTGAACATCAGGGATTTTGAGTATGATGTGTTATGGGAAGCTTCTTTTATCGCAGTTACTTGGTGTCCTGTATAATTCCTCCTCGTTGGAGGTTTTACTACTATTAGTTCTGTAAACAGACTTTTTTAGTTTCATCTATGCTGTCTTCTACTTTCCCTCTAACTCCAAATAGCCTTAGCTTAGTCTTCTTTGCGTCATCTGGTAAGTGTTGGACGAATTTTTCTTGTCCTCTTGTTATTTTTAAGTCTTCTCTAAGTAATTCATTATGAATTTTCATTTTTTTTCCTCAATCTCTGAAACTCTATCTTCACAATTGCTGTTTATGAATTCTATAGAATATTTTATCTTCAGGATTTCTGTTTGGCATGGAGTCTGCATCTCTGGTAAATTTTTCATGCATGCTTTGAATCATTTTGATAAGCTCTTCCAATTTTCTATGTTTCTCCTATGTCTACATTGGTTAGTCGGTATGTTAGTTCCACTGTTTTGGGTTATGTCCTCTTTGAACTCCCTTGAGCTTGTGGGGCAGGTGGCAGAACCAGTGAGCTAAATCCCCAGCCCTAAATAGTGGATCTTTTTAAGACTTGCTTTTCAAAGGAGGAATCGTTCTTAAAACAAAAATATTTAGAACTAAATGAAAATTCCATATATCAAAACCTGTGGGAAAGAACTAAAGAAATTACTTGAAAGATGTTTTATAGCCTCAAATGTTCACATTAGAAAATAAGGGGCTCAATGCTGCTCAGTGATTTAGCACCTGCCTAGCGTGTAGGAGGCCCTGAGTTCAACCCCAGCACCAAAAAAATTAAAAGGAAAGAAAAGAAGGAAGGAAAGAATAAAAAAGAAATGAAGAACAAAGACTAATAAACAACATCAATCTTAAGAACAGCAAAGAGGAAGGAGAATCGTCATAGCAGCCAACGAAATACAAATACACCATAAAGAGTTTTGACAAACCACGAAACTTACAAAGTGATGGCAACAGATGAGACAGGGTAGTGAACTGGTAGAAAATGTGGGCTCTGGAGCTGACTTCCTGGCTGATTCCAAGCCTGCCCTTTCCTGCTGCGTGGCCTTGGAGCAGTGCTCTGTGGCTGGCACTGGTGGGCACGCAGCTCAGGCTCTGGACAGTCAGCTCCCCATGCCCACAAGCTCATTGTCTGTACAACAGGGCTTCCAAGTTGTGTGTTCTGACCACAGTATCTTACAAAGGAAGTGGGAGAAAGGTACACTGAGGTGTGAAAAATGTGTGTAATTCTCCCCAAATCCTGTAATTATCAGCAAGTGTTGAACTGATTCAAAATCAGGTTTTCCCAACTTCAAAGTCTGCCCTTTCACCCACAGAGCCCATCCACAAGAGCAGAGGAAAATAAGTCCCTGTTGGCTGCTCAGCTGGTCATGCTCAGGAATGCTATTTACAGTACACCCAACTTTAGGGAAAATTTTTAAGGTCAAATATGAAAAAGACGAGGCCAAAGCCCACTTGCACATGTGTAGAAGTTCCTACTCCTTCTAATGGTGAGCCTGCAGTTACGGTTATGGGCTCTGGAATCAGAAGCCACATGAACTTAGTAATATTTTGCTAAGATCTTGTAGTGCTCATAACACTCCTTTTCGCAGGTCTGTTCTTGTCCCAAAATACAAATTAAGACCCTCAAGATACAGAGAAATTACATTCAGATTGCTAGAAATTGGCAGAGGCAGGATTTCAGCCCAAGCCATCTAACCTGCAAGCTGCTTTCTTATCTTATTCTTAAATTCCTGGGACACAACTTCCTCACCTATCAATTGTGGGTGACAATACCCACCGCACCCTGACTGTGAAGAGAAAATGAGAAAAGGTAGGGGAAGCCTCCATCTGGCGGGATCTGGATGCAGCAAGTGATGGAGGAGCAGGAGGAGGAGGAGGAGGAGGAGCATGAAGAAGATGGGGAATAGCAATGTCACAATACCTTTGACAAAAGATACAGGCTCAAGTGCTCCAGAAAACCTCACTGCATAGAATTCTCAAAGACATCTTTCCACTTCTCTCACACAGATCTTTCTGTGGACAGATCTTTTGCGCTGTACGTGAAAGCTTATCTTCAAAATCAAAATCACAGCATTTCCCATTATATGAAGATATGAACAAAAGAATGTCAAAGAATCTGACAAATAAAGCTGTAAAAAAGAGTGAGGAACACACTCACATTACCGGATTGCATTTAAGTCTAGCTTTGAACTTAATTTTCCAGAATTCTCGAAATACCCGTGATCCTGGAAGAAAAGCCCAATTAATCAGGCAGTGTTTGTTTTCTATGTGTGAGTCGTTGTCGCCATCTACAGTTCAGTGTGGGACATGGACACTGGCAAACCCCCCTAAGAACAGTCCTGGGGAAGCTGGCCACTGGGACGCAGAACAGGAAAGAGTTACCTGGAGGAGCAGCTCTTTCTCTACCACCTCTTCTGTCTTGCTGATGAGCCGCTTCTGCAGGGCCTGGATTTTCTGTATCAGCTCAAAGGAACTGGGGTCACTGGCCTGTCCAAGGAGAAAAGCAATGATAACAACAAACAGCTGAGATCTCATCAGCTTCAAAGCCCTGAAGTTCCTATGTAAAATAAGTACTGTTTCATTAAAATCTATTTCAAACCTGAAGACCCAACACAGATAGAATTAGAGCCAAAAGAGAAAAGTGTAACAGACAGGACAATGATATCTGTCCCTCCAAACAGCAGACTATAGATTGCCTGAATTCTTATATCTGCCCTTCGTTAGCTCATGAATGCAAGGTGAACAATAGTAATTATTGTTATAACTGCTGTGTGTGACCCTAATTTTTTGCCCCTTTCCATTTGCTATGCTGAGCGTTCTTCATATAAAATCATATCTTGGCTGCACAACAGCCTCGTAAGATAGTATTAGACCTCCCTCCTTAGAGATAAGACAACTGAGGCTCATAGTATTTAGGCCATTTGCCAAAATTCGTAAGGATAGGAGTTGAATTGGAGACCAAGATAAGCTTGGCCCCAGAGCTCTGGTGCCTGTTTATGATGCTCTGGAGGTTTTCCTCCCAGCCTGCTGACTCCGTAGGAATGAGCCAGAATCCCTAACTCACTCAACCTTTGGATTCCCCTTTGGTCATGCCAACAAGGAGGTTCATTACAGTCCATGACGTGGAAGGTCCCGAGGACACCCACGTCTGCAAACATAATAACTGGCGGCTGAACAGGGCCGTGGAATTTGGAATGGAGCTACCAACCCATGAAGCTCTGATGTTCCTCCAAAAGTTATCTGTACAATGCGAACAAGGGCTACACTTATAAACTGATGATCTGCTGTCCACACTTTGAGCCAAAGCTTCACTGTGAACTGTCCTGACATTTTAAATTAATCTAGTAACTAAATATTTTCAACTGCTTCCCAGAGTACGTATTTTCTAATTTTTTAAAACAGAAATTGAGACGGAGTTGGAGAGTTTAAAGATCTGCTTGGAAACACATAGAATAAACTAATGTGATGGTGAATGGACTTAAAACCTTCAGCTCTACTTCCCCAGAGAGATCTTTGGATGAGGGAACCACGCACTCATTTTATCTGAAGAGGAATGCGGGGGTAGAGAGGGAGATTTCATTGCCCATACACTGGGACTATTCTTGGCACACACCATTCACTTGGCAGGACTGCGAGGTGCTGGAACTCCGGCCTCGTGTTTACAAAACAATTTATGATGCATTAGCCTTAATGCCTTCTTCATTAAAAGGAGAAAAATGGAACACACAAGCCTGCTTGACTGATCTCCCCGACCCTGATCTTCCAGCAGCATGGACTCTATCGCTCAACACCCTCACTGCTCATTCTGTAAAGGCGCCCTGGACACCGAGGTTGCTAGGTACAGCTGCAGGAGAGGGCCTTCTCGTCTGTGAACAAGTAGGGCTTGGCCTCACTGCTATTTGCCGTTCTGGTGGTAAGGTCTATCAAGAAGCCACGAAATGTAACATGAAGTCGCTTACCCACACCCACCAAGGGGACTCTGGCTGTGTCCCCACGTCCTAAGAGAAATGAGACGGGCTAATATGACAGGAGTCCTCGAAATGGCTGCATGGAGACATATTTGCTGAGAGAAATAAAAACGTGCAAAGACAAATTGAAAGATAGTTAAGATGCCGGTCGCCAATGCAGCTAACGGCAATTAACTATCCAAGACTAACAGGCTGCCACAGGGTAAGTGGTAGACCACAAATAAGAAAATAAATGTCCACTGGTGAAGCCAATTCATGACTCTTTCTTTTTCAGCAGAGGAGGTTTTTCTTCTTTCCCAAAAAACTTGGTAAGCAAACCTCAAGCGAACCAACTGGTCCCGGAGTGACCCAATTTACATGTGACCTAGTCTTCAGTTCTGGTGGGAACTTGCATAGTCAGAGTTAAAGGCGCGTCCCGCTGAGCTACAGGGGAGAAGCCTGGAATGGAGTAGGAGAGGAGACGCAGGGAGGGGAAGGGTGCTCTGCCCCGCTCACCTCAAGCTTCCTCCACCGGTGCACGTTCATGGGGTTCTCCAGCTCCTCCTCCAGGGCTCGGCATCGGGTCCGCTCCTTCAGGAATTCCTTCTGCATGTGAAAAAGCTCCTGCCTGGATAAGACATAAACATCTGGGGTTTGGGAGACTTCAGGGAACAGAGACTGAGAGAGCTTCAGCACACTTTCCACATTTCTGAATTCTGAAGCAGCAAGCTGTGAGTGGCCCATCCTGTCGTGTCTTACCCAAATGCAAACTGGCCATGTGGCAGCCTGAGGACACTGCGCCCCCATCCTCACTGCCACCAGGGTCCCCCAGGGAGTCTGACAACATACATCCCTTTGCCGGGACCCAAACCCCAGAAGGGTTCTGTGGCACAGAGTCCTTGGGTTTTAGTCTTGTGGGTCACTCTCATGTGCAGTCAGCCCTGAGAACAGTGGGGACCTGGGAGGGTATTTTACGTCCAAATCCACAACTGCTGGACAGGGATAGCTAGGAAGTTCCTACACCCCTGGCTCAATCATACCCCATCTGCAGGAATCTCTAGTCAACAGGTGGCATGCTAACAACGTCCTCAGTAGCTGGTGCTGGCCACCACTCTGTCACCCAAAAGTCCTGCTGGAAGGCAGGGAGAGGGCGAGCACTCACACTGGTGTGTGTGGTGAGAGCACTTATTATCTGTCCTCAGTATGCTGTGGGTGTGCACAGTACCAACGCTCAGCCATCTCTTTTACTTGCTTCATTTAAACCAATAATACAACTTCCCCTCATTAGCAAGACAAACCATTAGAATTAACTGCATGATGTTCACTCAACAGGGAGCCTACAACAAGCTGCTCAGAACTAAAGGGTATTTTTAACACTCCAACTTTCTGGAGTACCATCAGAAGAGGGCAATAAGCATTAGCTACCGCATTTGCTGAGCTGCTTGGTGCTCAACTCAGTGCTAGGCACGCTGTATTTGTCTTCATGTGAATGGCAACTACAAGTCCAGAGCTAGAGAAAGTTAGCAATCTGTCCAAGGTCAAACAGCTTGTAGGTGGCATGGCTGAGATTAGAATTCATGCCTGCTTGCTTCCAGTCTTTATCAACTTATCTTCTCGTTAGAATGAAAAATAGAATCCATTATCAGCAAACTAGCAGTATTGACTAGGAATCGGTAAAATGTGACCCTTTATGTATGTCATAAAAATAACTCACAGTTGACAAGTTAAGTGATGGTCCCAGAGACCATTCAACAGCTCCTTAGAATGCACATATTTGTCTCTAAAATGTCAGCGATAATGTCTCTGGGTAGTAAAGGTATGAGTGATTTTCTAATCCCTTCTTTATACTTTTTCTGCAATTCACACATTTTCTACAATGTATCTATATGGCTTGCATTAACTGAAATATAAGCAACTTTAGCTAGATAGATGACTGACTGATTGATTGATTGATAATAGAGCCGTTCCTGACAGTGGCAACATTGCTCTTCCTGAATACAGTCATGTAAACAGCAAAATCATCTTCTAACTCAATTAATTGAAGGAGTAGATCTACACTGTGTCCTTATCCCAAGGTGGTCAAGGAGATGCACCTCCAGGTCTGCAGGGAATTAGGAGAGCATCTGAGAAAAGACCAGACCTCTGATTTGCTTTCCTGCAATTGCCTGCATAAAACACGGGATGTTTTCCCACAGGGGCAGTAGATCTCGTATGATGTAAAATTTAAAGAGAGAACAGGGGCACTAAGCTAAAGTGAAAGCTGCAGAAGATAAATCAAGAGTGAGATATAAAATTTGGCTGCCTTGTAAGGAAACGGATTTTCAAATAGTCATAGGACTAAATTTTCCACCTCTTTTTATCCTGTGTGTAATTCCAAGAAAAAGATGTGCAAATGTTACCAGGAATGAAATTTAAATATTGATGCTCCATCTCTTCCATACTGACTTAAGTTGGAAAGAACTCATTGGGCGAAGAAATGTTTCTGAATTGCAACCAGTCTGTATTTCTGATTTAACGTGAAATTTCCTTGTAAAAAATCCAGAATCATTTCGAACACTCCTTTTGTACTTACCCATTCCCATGGAAAGGAAATCAGTTTGTTTTATGTCCTAGCATGAGCACACTACAGATTTTGATGGGAAAGTGGTTCTCGGTGCTTGCTGACAGTTTCACCATATGAAATCCGTTTTGTGCAATTTTAATACAGACCCAAACGGCTAACAGGCATGCACACAGGGTCATTTGGGGAGCTCCCTGCAGATCCCCTGTTATCCTGTTACCTGAGCTCCTCAACATTGGCCACACTCTTGGCAAGAATCCCCTTTTCCCAGCGGAGCTTCTTGATCTCCAGTTTGAGGATCCTCATGTCCTCCAGCCTCTGGTTGTACTGGCTCTCACCCTTGTTCAGCACAGACTGCTGGATCTTGATCTTCTCGTAGAGCAAAGCTAACTCGTCGTTGCGCCGAACAAGTTGAGACCCCAGGATGTCTCTTTCACTGATGACCTAGAAGGCAGGAAAGGGCACAGCAACCCGGAATCAAAAGTCTCTCTTCATTACAGCGGCCCCTGAATAGCTAGGAAATGCCCACAGGTGTAGCCCTGGGTAGACTGCCGACACTGGACCCCCCCCCCACCAAAGTGCTAGCAGTCTCCTGTAGAAGAAAAGTCACGACAATAAATAACCCACAAGAGCAGCAATCTGATGGTACCACAATTCCTGGCCCGTGGGCATGTTGTTTTGTTTGTTTTTCCAGCCCTCTTGTAATATTTGAATTTGAATGATTTTGCGCATTTGTACAATCTTGCCAAGTTCTGCCAGTTCTTGCTGTCTTGCACTGGTTTCTCTCTGTAAGGTCCCTGAAAGCATTTCGGTTCCTAACTGCCATATGCATCTGAGTTTCTATTTCCTGCATTATGTACTTATTAACAGCTATTATATGTAAGCAATCCTACTGCCCTAGAATGTGAGCTCCCTCAGAACAAGGACCTTACAGTCTTGTTGGCCAGTGTGTGTCCCCAGTGTCTAGAGAAACAACTGACATCTAGGCAGTGCTGGTAAATATGAGTCAAATAGGTGAGTGACTCTTCATGGTCACCACAGATCAGCCTCTGCTGCTGCTTTTCCAATAGGCTTGGGCGGCAGGGCTTAGAGAGGACAGGAAACTGAGCACCATGAGCACTACTGGGGGTTGGAGGGGGAGGTCCTACCTGGTCTAATTCCTTCTTCTGCCTCAGCCTCTCCCCATCAGCTTCCGCGATGATTCTCAAGAGTTTCCTCTCCTCCACCTCCTGCTTTTCAATGAAGTGTTTGGTCTCCAGGGCTTGTTGTCTCAGCTTCTGCAGCTCAGCCTGAAAAACAGTGAAAGATGTGGACAAATTTTATACAGCAGCAGCGCAAACCAGGACCACAGGGTCTGGATTAGAGGTGTGTTCGTGCCACTTCATTTCCTCCCCAGTATTTACTCTACTGCCTGATCACTCTCGCGAGCCTCACAAACCCACAGCACACACACATTCACTCTCACTCATGCACACACACACACACACACAACGCCCATCGCAGAGGCCGTTTATTCTGTCAGTGCTGGTAAATATGAGTCAAATAGGTGAGTGACTCTTCATGGTCACCACAGATCAGCCTCTGCTGCTGCTTTTCCAATAGGCTTGGGCGGCAGGGCTTAGAGAGGACAGGAAACTGAGCACCATGAGCACTACTGGGGGTTGGAGGGGGAGGTCCTACCTGGTCTAATTCCTTCTTCTGCCTCAGCCTCTCCCCATCAGCTTCCGCGATGATTCTCAAGAGTTTCCTCTCCTCCACCTCCTGCTTTTCAATGAAGTGTTTGGTCTCCAGGGCTTGTTGTCTCAGCTTCTGCAGCTCAGCCTGAAAAACAGTGAAAGATGTGGACAAATTTTATACAGCAGCAGCGCAAACCAGGACCACAGGGTCTGGATTAGAGGTGTGTTCGTGCCACTTCATTTCCTCCCCAGTATTTACTCTACTGCCTGATCACTCTCGCGAGCCTCACAAACCCACAGCACACACACATTCACTCTCACTCATGCACACACACACACACACACAACGCCCATCGCAGAGGCCATGTTTATTCTGAGTTAAGCCCTTGGGGGAGTTCCATCACTTCTCAGCCACTTCATGAGTATGCAGCAACGTTCCATTTCAAACCAGGAGAGCACACTGTGAACGCTGCAGGGGTGGGTGCAGGGTTTGGACAGAGGAGGCCTCTATGTGTGCCGGCTTATGTAAGGACCTCATGCCAGCAGCGTGTGCACTGCAAAGGAAAAGCCCATCGTGTGCAAACATTAGGTCAGTCGAAGAGGATGACCACAGTGTCTATCTTAGAAAACATTCTGATGGGACAGAAAGGACATCGTGGTATAAAAAGACACTTCCAACCCAGGGAAGATGATAAGAGAAATAGATAAATCCAGGCAGTAATTTTTCAATATCCTTTTTCTTGTCATGCAGACTGTGAACTGATATTTCAGTGGATCAAAGGAAAAGACAGCTTCGAACTGAGGTCACCAGGGACACCAGAAGGCTCACACCTGAGCCTGACTCCTGAGGACACAGGCAGCTCCTAGGACCAGGAAGCTAAAAAAGGAAAATTCTTCTCATCAAAGAATACATCCCTTTCTGTTCCATAAGTATGTTCATGGCATAAGATATCCCAGACATTGCAAACCTCTTATCTTTATTTTATGAATGCTATTACAGAGGCAGAAAAGCAAATAGCTTGCCCAAGGCCAGAGCTAGTTAGCAGCAGGGTTAAGATTCAAACCAGGATCCTCTGACGTCAAAGCATGTGCTCGCTTGGCGGTCACAGTTCCAAATCAAACAGAGGGTGAGTAAGACTGAGAACTCAGCATCCATCAGTAATGATGAGCACAGCCCTAACATGTGAACATGCTCTCCACCTCTGTGGAAAGGGATCATGAGCACTCAGGAAAGATGCTATTCCGGCCTGAGGTTGAGAGGGAAGAGTCAGTAGTCCTTGGCGGTGGACAGATCATGCTCACCTGGAGGGGTGCATTGGGGGAAAGCACCCAGCAGTCTGGCTGTGTGCGCGGAGCAGGCAGTACACACAGTAGCTGGCGTATTCACCATGGAGTTGACCGGAGGACTAGGTAGGGAATGGCAGGAGGAGAAGCTAGCAAACAGCTGAACTGGGCTGGACTGGAAAGGACCACAGAGTACCCGTGGTGGGACCAGAGTTACCACGCTAAAGAACATGTCTTCTTTGAAGAATATGTCCTCAAGAGGTTCTGCCCAGTGGCAAGACTGAGCAGGTCAGCACAAGAAGAAAGGAACGAGCAGGGGCAGCTTTGCGTTTATGCCAACCTGGGATCACAAGGAAGACAAGATGACAAATCCTCAAAGACTCAATGGCTTGCTCGTTGCCAGAGACAGTGAAAGAGGTATCCATTTTTGACCTTTCAAGTAAGTATTGGGACCCCATGGCCATTCACCAGAGAATGTTACCACGATGGCAGGAAACGCCTCACTTGCCAATACCCACAAACCAACCTAACTCAGGCAAGGCCTGCCTCGAAGAGCCATGAATCCCATGCCCCAAACTCACACCAACAGCGGGAGGTGCTGGGCTCCTGGTAATGGCAGTGAAGCATGACAAATAAATGCAACCAGCTACTATAACACCAAGAGTTTGTTTTATGACATTTTGCTTGTTCATTCATGAAATGTGTTTTGGTCTAGGGACAAGGAAACAGAACTACGTACTCAGATAAGACCTGGTCTCGAATTTGCCATTTAGAGGGTTGCCTGCTAGGAAAGAAAACGGGGCACCAGCCTTTCTGTTTCCATAATCATTTAAGGTGACAGCAAAAAATAAAATACCTGTGTGCCTCATGCTTTCTTTAATAAAACTTTTATTTTCCCATATATGCAGCACTCACTTCCCTGTTCTTAAGTGCTAAGAGCTGATCAGAATCCATCAGCGGAACAGAATGAAACCCCTGTTATATTAAAATGCAATCAACAGCGTGTAAAAGTATCTGTCTGAAATGTAAAACCATTCGTGCGTTTGGCATTGCTGGTGCTTTTTTCATAATATATCGCAATTCTGAGTGGTCTCCTTATGTCATAAATTTATGGGCTGTAAACAAGATGTGGCATTAGATGTTGGCAGCAAATGTTAACATCAACAAAACACCTTGGGTCTAATACATCCAGCCATTATAAATCAGGGCCGTCTCACCCAGCACAGAAAGGAACAGCTGCTGTGCACCCAAAGCCCATCTCCCAGCGTCTCAGGTGGGACCTGGGTTTTTTGCGCCTGTCCAAGTATTGCTAGGGGCATGAATTTTGCAACCAGAGAGAGAACACAGTCCAGTCAGTGCCATGAGTATACAATGTCACAGTGTGTGTTTGTGGACTGTATATGGTCTAATCTGGCCTTAGGTACAGATCACATTCTAAAAGCCATACTTGTGAGAGTCTCACCACTTCCTACATAAACCGCAAAGAATCCTCCTCGTCCTGAGAGTGACCAGCCCTCCTCTCTCTCTTGCACAGATGACAGCTCCCTGTCTGGCTCCCACTACAGAGTCCACTAAGTGAAGGGACACAGTGCCCTGAAGCCAAGCCCCAGGGTGGTGCCAAGCAAAGGACACAGGGGATTTGCTGCTGCATTATTCATTAGGAATCAGAACACTGTCATTCAGACACAGGACGGCCAGGAAGACAGATGCTGAACAAGATGGTTCCATCAGCGTGGACACAAACAAGAGGGGCGCAGATGCGGCCACACCTACAGGGAACTATTGGCATCATGTCCCAGCCATGGTATACAGGCAAAATCTAGACTCCCAAGGAGTAAAGAAAGTCGGGAGCAACCAGAAAAAGAAAAACAACGTGGGGGGAGCAAGGTCTTTCTGTTGAGAGCAATGCAAGAGGATGAGGATAGTCTACAGCTGTTCGTCTCAAGGCTGGAATAGCACTGAATCAGGCAGGGTGCCCTGGCAAGGGGCATCTCATGGTCTACCCAGCAGCAAGGGCTGGCCTGTCCAGCAGGGGTCTCCACCCACACTTTGTAGAACTCACTATAATAAGAGAAACGTCTCTCCCTGAGCAGAGTCACTAGAAAATCTGCCCTTTTCACCAGAGTATTGGTTTTCAAACTCCAGAGGCATGGAATCCAGAGGCCTATGTGAAATGTGATTCCAATTCTTAGGTTAAAAAGTCAAGAGACTGGAACTCAACATTTGAGCTGTCATATTTTTCTAAAGAATGTCAGACTGGTTTAATGATAGGCCAGCACCGTCCAGCTAGAGCACCACTGCAAGTCACGCCTGGAGGACCTCAACTAATAAATCAAGCAGGTCTCCTCTCTCTACTCCTCATTCTCGCCTTCATGGGAGAGGCTAGGGGACAGGCATTACTATCTCCACCGTTAAAGCAAAGCAAAGCCTAATATCAATGACCCGGAGCCATCAGACCCAGGATTCCTTGTTTGGAGCCCACTCTCCAGAGCAGAAGCCTTTTAATCACCCTTCATGTCTGCCAGCTGCCAAGGCTGCTGGCCGAGGCCCACATGGCAGGAGCTGCTGCCCTTCATTTTGTGTTACTGTGGCATTTCTTTGGAGCCATAGGCACAGACGCCGGATGAAAGAGAGCTTAATTAAAACAAACATTAGCTAAGGTCGAACTCTAAGAAATTGGGACTAAGTGATCTTGCATAAAAGGCTTTGCTTATTTTAGAGCAGGAGTTTGGAGAAGGTGGTGAGTTCCGCCCCGGACACTATCACAGGTAACAGTTGTTCTTAGGAACACAGCATCCCTGGGAGGAAGAGATGAGCATCAGAATCACCCCCAAGGGAAGGGGGTGCTGCTTCAAGCTGAATACACTGCAGACGCTGCATGGTGCACGAGGCCCCTGGTGTGGCAATGTTTATGTGATTCTCCTGATCCATTCAGCAGTAAACAAACCCCATCCTGCCACAAGACAGCAGTGCCACAAACCACACCCACAAAGCTTTTGCACAAGAGAACAAGGCAAAGAGGAGGAACACCGTCAAATTTCAGAAAATGTGCATGTATCTCTTTATATATATAAATAAGTATGAAACGGAATTTTCTATCCTTTTTCTGTGATAAGTTGGAGTGAGGGAGATGAAAGTCTCAGGTAAATATGTCAATTACTGTGTCTTTTTTTTTTTAAAACACTTTTGTTAGAGTTCAATCTTTCTCAAACCAAATGTACCTTAAATTAATTTAACGTAGTACTTCTACTTCTATGAAAACCTATCATTAGGTTGCCAAAGCCATTATTAAATTGAGAGTGCATATTTCAATCCCTGGCATCTTAGAATCAAGGAAATGTGGCATAAAATCTGTCCAGCACTGGACACACATTTTCGAGACCGGGACAGCCTTTGAAAGCCAATGTGTGTGGAAGCAAGGTGCCCACTCTGTACGTTATAAACAGTCCTCCAAATGGCTCCTAAGCATGCCCGGGTGTTCTGCGTCATAAAAGTGTCATCATTCTTAGAAGTTCCCTTTTTAATTCTTTCGTCAAATGAGGTAGAAGGGAAATCTACTGGCTTGGATGGGGATACGGAAATGATATCGGGGTTGGTGATATGAATACTAAAACATATTTGGCTGGGAGTTTTGGAAAGGAATAATTATGTGGTATGAATTCTCAGAATGAGTCCTTCTGTTAGTAGACACAAAATACTCCAGCCAAGTAGGCTGAAAAGAGCACATCTAGCCAGGTGTGGGGTGCACAGCTGTAACCCCAGCTCTCTGGGAGGCTGGAGCAGGAGGATCACAAGTTTGAGCTCAGCCTGGGCAACTGAGTGACTTAGACCACGTCTCAAAATAAAAATTAAAAAGGCTGAGAATGCAAAGGCCCTGGGTTCAACCCTCAGTACCACAAAAATAAAATAAAACGATGTGTTTTAGTAAGACCCATGGAGACAAAGGTGATCTCCAGAGAAGAGCTGAAAAGCAAAGCGACCCAGGGATCCCACTGAAGACAAAGGGAGGACAAACCCCTGCCACTTAAAAGAAGGCCAGGCAGAAAAGTAATGCGGGAAAGAAGGAGCAAGGACTGGGAGCAGAGAGACAGGGTCACACCCTTCCGGTCCTCCCAGGAGCCAGGCCTGTAAGGAACTGAACAAAGATGGCCGCCTTCCTCCTGGGGCTCCCGTGGGGTTGGGGAAACTCGAAATCCAGGCCTCTGGGGTAGGAGGCTGCCCCCGGGACAATGGGCCAGAATGGTCTCTACCTTCAGCGTTTCCTTTTCTTTTTCTATTCGCTGCTGCTCCAGATTCAGCTTTACCAGTGCAGACTCTTTCGTAGAGATCTCTTCTTTCAGCTGATCTACCTGATGGGTCATAATCTTTAATTTTCTCTTCATTTCCGTGATTTCATCCTAACAAGATGAAAGGGAGAATGTTGGAAAGTGAACTAAATAAGGATCACTGTCCCCATAGAAATTCAATACATTCTTAAGAGGTTTTAAGGGAAGCTTTCTCAAAACAAGGATCACCTAATTCCTTTGTTTCCTGTGCCCATCAACCTCAAAGTATTTATAGCAATACTCAAAATAGTTTCAGGAGACATGTACAATCTATACGTGATGACTCACGCTATATTCCTCATTTTACTAAAGGAAGTGAAAGCACAACAAATAGAACTTGAAGGTTTCAAAGCAAAGTTCTTTAATTGCAACACTGTTGCCCTTTTCGCCTCGGTAGAATAGGAGAGAGCCAGTTCTACATAATAATTAAAAATAGGATCATGATCTCCACATGTTGTTACTCTGTGTGTCTTTTCCATTTCAAATAACCTGACAGTTCTACATAAATTGATCTTCTTCAAGTGAATTGCATAAGATTTCTTTCTTGATCTATTCTAAACCCTGGCATTAGGACAACAGAAACTGCTTTAAGCCTAGGATGGAGGGAATCAAGGTATAAACATAAATGGGTCATTTACCTGAGCTTCAACCAGATTTTTGCTACACAGATTCCTGTCTGACCTCACAGCTTCATATAGGTTCTGTTGGTGCTTTAATTTAGTCTCTGATTCAGCTATTTTTTTCTTGTAGTGAAAAATCTGCATTTCACGGACTTTTATATCTTCCATGTTCACGAGGAGCTGAAGAGAGAAGAATTTGGATATAGTTAAACAGCCCATCTATGCTCACAGATTCGGACAAATGGAGTTTTCTATCCAGGGTGGTGGGAGGAGATCCAGCCCTCCAATAATCTTGCTGTGACTGTAATCCTGGAGTACAACGCAGAAATTCAGCTGAGCTGTTAAGAAATACATATTTTATCTCTGCCACAGTTGTGCTCAATTATACATTCTTAACATGGTTATTTTGTGATCACAAGAAAGAAAAAAATGGAAAAAGAGGTTCCTTTAATCCTGACCACTGATCCACAAAAATAAAAACCATAAACTCAGGCCAAGGATGTAGCTCAGAGGCGCCACGCCTGTCTGGCAAGCTCAAGGTCCTGAGTTTGATCCCTGGTACCAGAAAAAAAAACTATAGGCTCAAATGAATGTTAATACAAAGCACAAAGAAAGATAATTTAGCTGTTTAGACACCGACTGCTTTATCAAGTTGACCATGAGAAAGTAAAATGACCTGTGACCCTTGGTAGTACCCATGACTCTTCTGTCTTGCCAGTGTCAAACTGTCCAAAGAACGCAAAGAACTTGTAAAAATGCAATCCACCTATGCAGTATGATTGAAATATATGATGAATGTTTAAACAATCTGGGGGTTCTTTTTCTTTTTTTCAATTTTTCATTAGTACATGTCTGTAGTACATAAAGACTGCATTTATCGTGTAGACTTGGTGCATGTACCTTACCTACCTTACCCTTCCCACCTCTCCCTGCTGCTTCCGATCTCTGGTCCGCCTTGTATTTACGAAAGCTCTATTTCCATGTTTTCATTCAATTCTTTCCCATTCCCTTTCACTCTCCTCCTTTCTCCCTCCCCCCATCTCCTGTCCCCCTTCCCATCCGAGGAAGATCTCTCTACTTCCTGTTATCTATCTTTGATTTTGCTATTTATATTTTGTTTTCCCATATAAGAGAAACCGTGCAATATTTAAGCATGTGTGTCTGATTTATTTCACTTAACATCGTGATCTTAAGACATATCCATTTGGCCATGAATGCCTCAAGCTTATCCTTCTTTATGGTAGAATACTACTTCATTGTGTATAAACACCACATTTTCTTTATCCATTCATCTGATCATGGACATATAGGCTGTTTCCAAGATTTAGTCTTATATATTGTGCTGCTATAAACATAGGTATGAATGTGTCCCTGTAATACGATGACTTTAACTCTTTGGGGGCTCTACCTAGAAGGGTGTCAAATTGTACTTATATTTTTAGTTTTCTGAGGAATCTCTATACTATTTTCTGTTGTGGTTGTTCAAGTTTACATTCCCACCAGCAAAGTAGAATGGTTTCTTTTTCCCCACATCCTTGCCAGCATTTGTTCTTATTTGATTTCTTGATGATAGCCATTCTTTCTGAAGTAAGATGGTATCTCGATATTGGATCTCACTATGTAGTCCAGGCTGGCCTTAAACTCACTAGGGAGCCCAGGCTGGCCTCAAAATTGCAGCGATCCTCCCGGCCCAGCCTCCCGAGTGCTGGGATTACAGGAGTGTAGCACCATGTTAATGCTGTTTTAATTTGCATTTCTCTGTGTTGAACAGTTTTACATGCTTAATAGCCATTTGTACTTCTTCTGGGAAGTATCTATTCATCTCAGTTGTTCATTTTTTAAGTGGATCTTTTTCATTTTCTGGAGTTCATTGCGTATTGTAGATATAAGTCCTCTATCTGAAGAATAGTTGGCAAAATTTTTGTCCCATGCTGCAGATTGTCCCTTCACTCTGTAGGTTGTTCCCTTTGCTGTGCAGAACCGTTTTCATTTATCGATTCTCTGTATTACCTCTGTGCCACTGAGATCCTGTTCAGAAAGTCCTTGTTGATGCCTATATCGTCAAGAGTTTTACCTATTTTATCCTCCAGCAGACTATGTATTGCTGTTAAATAATTTTTTGAATTTATTACAGCAAAAGACACGTGACCATCAATCCCCCTCCACACACTCATCCCATCCTTCCTGAAACCTTTGAAGCAGTTCTAGAAGGACTCTTTCGTAGGTGTCTTTAGTTGTGCTGTCACGGCTGCCTCTATGTCCTGAATCCAACCAAAATTTTTATCTTTCACGGATGTTTTTACTTTGGGGAAGAGCCAGAAGCCGCACTGTGCCGGATCCGGTGAATACAGTGGGCGAGGACAAGCTGCCTTTCCATTGGATGGCACTCCGCAGCGGCATTCACCATATTTTTTATCACACCTTGAAAAGAGGACTTCCAGAAGTGTTTTAGAAATAGCAACAAGGATGGGATGAGTATGTCTGAAGGGGGTAGTATTTGGAGAGGGATCAAAGGCAATATGTCTTTTACTGTAAGAAATTTTTTAACTTAAATAAATTTTTATCACAATACTTCTGGGAAGGAGGAGAGGCCAACATGACCACCTCCTTTTGCTGAGGATGAAAAACCAAGGCCTGAACTTCTAGTGTTGAGTCAATTCTGATCAACAAGTAATTCACGGCATAAAAATTATGCAGTCATGACTCTTAGCTGCCACGTCCGCGGAAATTGATTTTTTAGAACAAATGTCTTTTTAAAACTTCCTTAAGAAAAACTTTAGTCAGTGAAACTATGGTGTAAACAACAGCCATAACGTGGAAGGAGAAAATTCGTAAGATTTCATGTCATTTTAGTAGATTTCACTAATGGTTACCATGGAAGATAACAGAGGAGTGTGAAAAGGAACAGAAGGAGAGGGTCAGGTGGGAAAGATGGGGGTAGCCCTAGAAGGTTCCTCGTGGAGTCACACTGTGCCTAGAACCTACAGGGTTGGAAAAGGGCCTTAGGTCTTCGCCCTGTTGGTGTTCTCTGTGATTTGGATGTGGGCAAATTGAGAGCAACATGCTTCCACATGACTACCCTAGAAGAACCCTTTTCCCTACTTGTCCAGTTAGCTTTGAAGACAGCATCTTTCAGAGTTTTCTTAGAGATATTTAAGGAGATGTGATTACATTCATTTCAACATATATTATTTTGTACCATTTTTCTTACTGGGTCAATTGGTTTGATATACTTAGTAACATATTTTTCCCTTTAAAAATATTTTAATTTCTTTATACGTGGCACCTCCTGCCCTAATTTAAAATATATTCATAAACGTGGGAAGTACATTTCATTTGCTCATTTACACGAGTCTTCTGTCTCCCTTCAACCTTCATCCACCCCTCGACATATAATGTAGTAACATGGTTAATTCTAACCATCTAATACGCGCCCTTCTGTGCTTTACTTGGAATTTTGCATGTTATTCGAGTCCACAAACATAATGATAATAGTTCAGACTCATCAGATAATTTCTGTGTATCTGGTACTTCACGTGTGTTAACTCATTTAATCTTCCCAAATTCCTGTAAGATGTATATTATCACCCAATTTTACAAAAAAGGAAACAGAGGCCAAAAGAAGTAATATTTACAAAATTACTCACATAGTAAGTATACAACTATGGGAGCTGGCTTTCCTTTGTTTCGTGTTTTGCTTTGCTTTTTAGATTTTGTTTTTATTTTGTAGGCAGAGGGGTCTTATTACACAGCAATGCCTGTGGCGATCACCTGAAGTAGCTCTAACCTGTTCTCTTTCGAGGCTGTGGAAGGTGACTGCACCTCTGAACGTCCTCAGCTGTGTCTGCCTGAGCAGTAGCTGTTTCCGCCCTTTCTGGCCCTGAACCACGCTGCAGTAAACATCTCCTGCAAGCGTCCTAGGGCACTTGTGCATTTACTTCCATGGGATGGATTCCCAGGAGTGGAATAGCTGGCTCAGAAGACATACATATTTTCAACTTTAATGGATATTGCTAGATTGCTTTCCAAAATGGTTGTAACACTTTACATTTCCATGCCACCAGCGACAGTTCTCGTAATGGAAAACTGCCCTTGCCGGTTGCAAATAAACCTTCTTTGGTCGTACTGGGTGATTCTTCCAATGTTCTGTGGAATTTTCGCTGGTAGAATTTCTTTAGGATTCTGCATATATGCCTCAGTGATACAGGCCTATAGCTTTCTTTTTGGCTCTATTTAAAATCAAAGTTTCTACTAGCTTCAAAAGTGAAGTACCTTTCTGTTCACTCATTCATCCACTTGCCCATTTAGTCATTCATCCAATGGACACACACTGAGTGTCTGTGGCAGGCATAGTAAAAGAGGAATAAGACAGAGACCCCACTCTCAAGCTTGTCTCTAGAGAGTGACCCCAGCAGAGAAGAGATGACCAACAAATGGACACAGCCATCTGCTGAGAGAGCACAGGGTGCTACTGGGGGATCAAGAATTAGCAGGTTCCTGGACAGGTTCTGAGGTTGAACCTTCTCCTCTTATTATTCAAGCAGTTAGTATCAGAAGCTTCCCTCCCAACCAAAGACTCACCTCGACCCTGGGACCTCTCCCAGACTGGAGTCTCTATACATCGCACCACTGTAGGAGCAATGAGTTTACGTCATTGAAGCACTGCCTGTCAGCATTAGACCCAAATTATACAAAGTACATAAGCAATAGTTTTTCTAAATTCACACTTGCAAAAAATTACACAACCATACATTACACATGCAATATATAATTCTGCAACACGAGAATTATCTGATTCCCACAAATTTGGAAAAATTTACATCATTAAGCTCTTGGTCAATGTTGGAGCAAATCCTGTTGACTTTTTCAAGTGGATATTCCCCTAAGAGAGTTATCTACTTCATTTAATTTTTAAATGGGTGCAATTAGACTTATACAAAGTGTCTTTACAGGCTGTTCCGGCCATTTTATTATTATTACTTGCCATCATCCAGTTTGTGTGGGAAGAAAAGGGTCCAAGGTAAGAATATATATCTCCATATGGGCCCAGTGGCCAATGACCGGGATGGTGGATTGGGGCCTTGGAAGAGTGAGATTAGAAAATCAAAGACAAGGAGGTCTAGGGTAAAAATGTGTGGATGGATCTAGAATTTGAAAAAAAAAGCACTCCTTCTATCATC